CTAAAGGTCAGTCAAGCAGATCTGCCTGAGGAACGGGTGGGGCGGGCGCCCCTGGACACAGCATGGTCCTTGATAGCAAGTCAGACAGGATGGCAGCAAAGGAAGCCAACAAAATCATATGTTCTTCATTTTTATTTTTATTTTTAGTTTTTAAATCTTTATTAAGTTTACTGGTATGTTTTAGGTGTAAAAAGAATAGTTTTCACGATTCTCAGAAGTGTGACCTGACCCCACGCAATTGTTCCTACGTTATTTTGCACACAGTTTGCGCATTAGTCCTCGTATTGTTTCCACAGAGGCTGCACTGATGTACACCCACCGGAGTGGACCTGGGTTCCCTCTTCGTGCCCCGCCCACACTCGTTATCTGTGTCTCTTCTTCCTCAGACATTCTAACACCAGGGAGGGGAGAGACAGCTACACTCGGTCTCCCTCGAATTTGGAAGCTGACGATGTGGGTCTGATTGGAGCAGAGAGCAGAGTAGCGGTGACCAGCACGGTGAGGGGCTGGGGTGGAGATGGGGTGGACCGAGGACACTAGCGTACAGCCGAGAGGAGGGAAGCCCAAGGGCTCCATCCCGGGTTCTTGAACTTGATGAGGGAGTGGCTGTCAGATGTTATCACCGCAGAGACTACGGCGTGGGTGATACACATGGGATTAGCTGCATTTGGCCCCTCTATGTGTGCATTTACTGCAATGGATCATGTTACGCGTGGTAACCAAACATATCTGTCAACATGGAATAATTAATTTTACAATAGAAAACTTTCATTTATGCAAACTGAGCTCTGTACATTTGTAGGTACTTTCCTACTAAGAATATATTACAGGGCATATTTCCCTCTGCTCCCAGTGTGAGCCCCTGTAAGGACAGGAGGCCAGTGCAGCAGCGTCTCCACAACACCTCGAGGTTCTGCAAGGCCCTGCTGGGTCCCAGTCTCTGGGCTGCACCTCAACCTGCTCTGCACCCCTGAGTGCATCCATTTTAAATGCCATTGTCAGATGCTGTCTAAACAAACAAGCACAGAGAAAGCATTGCAAAGCCAGGCGTGATTTGGCTGCCCTGAATGAATGATTTCTGTAGAGTTTCATAATTTGAACAGTACTTCCACCAAGCAAGTCAAGGCATATATTTTCTCCTATCAACTCCTTCCTTCCATTTGTAAACAGTGAGATGACAGAAGCCTTCAGAACTTCTTCACAGGCTTCATTGCTGAGCTGCGTCCCTCTCCTGTGCGCAGAGATGCATGTGAAGCAGAGTCCTCCCACAGTGTCCGCTCTGACGCCCCACAGCCTGGAGTCTCTCTGCCTGCAGCTCTCCCTCCCTACATATTGATGCGCCCTTAGAGAGGCAGTGAAGAAGAGACAGACCTTAGCCTCAGAGGACTCTGCTGTGTCCATCTCATGCTCTGCTCCCCTGGTGCATGGCCCAGTGTCTCTGTCTCTGCTCCACCATCCTCTGCATTTACCACACAGGTTTAGCTGCAATGACTAAGTGCAAATTGCCGGTGTGCTGTGAGCGCCCTTGCTCTGGAGATGATGAAAGTGGCTCCTTTCCCTGGGAGCTCGCTGAGGTGCAGGCTCCTTAGGCTGGAACTACCGAAGTGGTAGTGGATGCCCGGAAACACAGCTTCCCTCCAGCCATGTAGATTCTTCTGTGCTACTGTGGGCTGTTGTGGGAGGTTTTGTTGGATTTTTTTTAAACATGTTTAGAACACAGAAGTCACCAGTTTCCAAGAGCCTTCTGCTCTTGAACATGCTGTCAGTGCACTGAGTCTTTTCCAGAGGTTACCAGTCAACATCATTTCCTCCATTTTAGATCAGGAAGGCTGAGAGTCAGGGTGGTGACCTGCTCTGCCCCAAGTCAAGGGATGTGGGTCAGGCCAAAAGATGCGGATTCAGAGAGGACGACTGTAGAGGCAAACAGTGTATTCAGCTCCCTCAGCAGTCAGCCCCCAATAAACACGATGTCCACACCCAACATCCAGGCCTCGCTCTCCCATGGGGTTCCTGTCCCTGTTGGTTAGAAGCCAGCTGCATTTGACACTGAGGACCACACAGTTGTAAATGCTCACACTCAGTTCATTGTTGCTCTCTCCTTTATGACGACTGTAGAGGCAAACAGTGTATTCAGCTCCCTCAGCAGTCAGCCCCCAATAAACACGATGCCCACACCCAACATCCAGGCCTCGCTCTCCCATGGGGTTCCTGTTCCTGTTGGTTAGAAGCCCACTGCATTTGAAACTGAGGACCACACAGTTGTAAATGCTCACACTCAGTTCATTGTTGCTCTCTCCTTTATCCTTCGCTTATCATCAAATTGAGCATTTTATCCTGAGATTCTAGTTCTCTCTCTGTCTGAACCTTTGGATAATATTTGTCCTGATTATGTGGTGGTCAGTTGATGATTTTCCAGGATCCTGATGACTACACATCTGCAGGACGATTCCAGTCCTGCACCTGCAGCATCGGACTCTGAACCCCTTGCGTGTGTGATAGGAGCTGCTCCTTTTAGGGTGTGGCCTTGGGAAGCTGTGCTGGAGATCGTTTTACTCCATACAACTGATTCAATTTAAAAGTCATTGTGATAGTATTTTAAATATTTTTTTGAAAAGTAAAGAAAAACAATTCTGTTCATAAAATTTGTAAACTTCTGTTCATTTTTTTCTGTCTTTAAGTTTCCAATTCTGGCATTTATTTTTGAAACTAATTTGTGCATATTCCACCCATTTATGAGATAGAAACTCTTCTTTAAAATGTGGCATACATGACAATAATTCTGTACAGAATTTTTTATAATGAAGAATTCTGTAAAGATGAAGATGGAAATGATAGAAATATGGGTCAGGAAAATGAAATATGGATCAGAAAGCATAGTGAAGATGTCTTGGTCTGCTTAGGCTCCATAAAAAAAAACAAACTAGTACAAAAGTTACAGTGTAGGAAACCCAGGAACTACAGGTGCAACTTCCTCCCCACCAGGATGGTGAATGACCAAGCAGCACAGCAGGAACAGCAGAGCTGCCCAGCAGGTGGACATATGCAGTCCTTATGCCCTGGTAGGGGAAGGAAAACAGCACAGCAGCGGGGCAAGCACAGCTTTCATCACAGCATTAGCCTGCATTTACCTTAGGGGCAGAAAGGTCACTTCTGAGTCTACACACAAAGAATGGAAAGCAGGATCTAAAGAGGTACTGGGCACCTGTGTGCACAGCAGCAGTGATCAGAATAGTGAAAGCATGGAGACAAAGTGTGCAACAAGTGGGAAAAGAACACGTCAGTGCACTTTGTATATATGTGCATTATTGTGGCGGTCCAGCTGTCACAACACGAACATGCCTGAGTTGGGGAGTGAGGATTGAGAAAGGAAAGAACACTCAAGCCTAAGTGGAGACCAAGAGAAGTCTGATTTATTTCACAGAACCAGCTCCTTTTAAAGGCTCACATCAACAGGGAGCACCTGAATCCTACAGGGAATGTCAGATCTTTAACAGGAAGCACCTGAATCCTACAGATAATGGCAGATCATAAACAGGAAGCACCTGAATCCTACAGGCAAGGTCAGATCTTTAACAGGAAGCACCTGAATCCTACAGGTAACATCAGATCTTTAACAGGGAGCACCTGAATCCTACAGGGAACGTCAGATCTTTAACAAGAAGCACCTGAATCCTACAGATAACGTCAGATCATAAACAGGAAGCACCTGAATCCTACAGGCAACGTCAGATCTTTAACAGGAAGCACCTGAATCCTACAGGTAACATCATATCTTTAACAGGGAGCACCTGAATCCTACAGGCAACGTCAGATCTTTAACAAGAAGCACCTGAATCCTACAGATAACGTCAGATCATAAACAGGAAGCACCTGAATCCTACAGGCAAGGTCAGATCTTTAACAGGAAGCACCTGAATCCTACAGGTAACGTCAGATCATAAACAGGAAGCACCTGAATACTACAGGCAACGTCAGATCTTTAACAGGAAGCACCTGAATCCTACAGGTAACGTCAGATCATAAACAGGAAGCACCAGAATCCTACAGGTAACGTCAGATCTTTAACAGAAAGCACCTGAATCCTACAGGCAAGGTCAGATCTTTTTTTTTTTAACAGGAAGCACCTGAATCCTACAGGGAACGTCAGATCATTAACAGGAAGCACCTGACTCCTACAGAAGACGTCAGATCTTTAGCTATATCTTCGAGTTTCTCCCATCACAGGGTCAAAACACAAGTTTAACACGTGGAGTCCTTAAAAAAGGAACAAATGTTAACAAATGCTAATTAGGAACATCCCGACCACACACTGTGGCAGTGCCTTGATTATAAAGAAAGAAGTTATCTTTCAAATGTCAAATGCCAGTGGGCCATGACTGGCCCCCACACGTTATGAGCGTTAAAGAAAATTTTAGTGTATTCACCAGTGTGGATCAAATTCTGGGACATGATGTAAGGGAATGAGCTGCTCACCACGTTATAAATGTTGTGTGATTCTAATCTAGTGTTATGAAAATCACACCGATAAAGAGAAGAATGGGCTCTACATGATGGAAGGGGAGTTTTTGTTTTTTGGGTTTTTTTTTTTGTTTTTTTGTTTTTTTTTTTTTTGGAACTGGGGATGGAACTTGGGTCCTTGCACTGGTGAGACAGGTGGCAGTACAACTGAGCTAAATCTCCTGCCATGAAAGGAGATATTTAATAGGTATGAGATGGGTTTGCAAGGTGAAAAGTTTCAGAAAATTGGTGGTAGTGACAGTGGTACAAAATTATCAATGTACATAATTGCACTGAATTAAATTGGCATGGGATAAGGTAACTGCATTGGTAAATAATCAGTGTTATGTACTGTGAATCTTACCATAAGAAAAATAGAAAGAAAAAAAAAGAAAAGGAGAGATAGAAAAGAAAAGGTAGTACCTTAAATAATCTCCATTTGATGCCCGCTCCCTGAAAAAAAGTACTTCATGGTGTCATATGAATCTATTATATATAAAAGTATGCACGAAAAGTACCAATTAGAAAAAAATGCAAAAGCCATGTTTATCCTCAAAACCTGTCACTTTTCTTCCAGCGGTATATTAGATGCAGATGCCATGGAAAGAGAAAATGTGAGTTTTCCCAACACTTTTGTCCTGCTGGGCTTCTCAGAGTTTCCATGGCTGGAGAGGCCCCTCTTCGCAGTGGTCCTGGTCTCCTACCTCCTCACCCTGTTGGGGAACAGCTCCATCATCCTCCTCTCCCTGGTGGACCCCAGACTCCAGACACCCATGTACTTCTTCCTGGGCAAACTCTCTCTGCTGGACCTCAGTCTCACTTGTACCACAGTTCCCCAGCTCCTGACCAACCTGTGGGGGCCAGACAAGACTATTGCTGCCTGGGGCTGCATCACACAGGTCTGTGTTTTCAGCTGGACAGCTTGCACTGAATGCATCCTTCTTGCCATGATGGCCATTGATCGCTATGTGGCCATCTGTCGGCCGCTCCAGTACACTCTCATCATTCGTCCCTTGGTGTGTGTGCAGATGGCAGTGGCCTCGTGGTCAAGTGGCTTAGTCAATTCTCTGCTCCAAGCTACACTTACCCTCCAGCTCCACCTCTGTGGACACCACACCCTGGACCACTTCTTCTGTGAGGTTCCTGGGCTCATCAAGCTGGCCTGTGGGGACACCACTGCTAAAGAGCTGGCCCTTACCTTGATGACCATCCCATTTGGAATGGTGGCTCCCACAATGATCATTATCTCCTACACCTTCATTGCTAGGGCTGTACTGAAGCTGCCTTCAGCTGAAGGCAGGCGCAAGGCACTGAGCACCTGCAGTTCCCACTTGCTGGTGGTCACCATGTACTTTGTACCAGGCATGTACTTGTACCTCCAGCCTTCATCCAAGAGTTCCCAGGCCAAGTTCATGTCCTTCTTCTACTGTGTTATCACCCCACTGCTCAACCCACTCATCTACACCCTGAGAAACAAGGATGTACAGACAGCATGGAAGAGGATCCTGCAATCCCAGGCCAGGGTGAAATCTTTAAAAGCCAGATGACCTCTGCCTGTCCCCTGAGCAGTCACAGGCACACATCAATGAGCAGACTTATTACACCTGCTTTTCCTAAAGAGCATTCGTGAGCTTCGGGAAAGAGTTGCCAGTTTGCAACATCAGCCACCTCAGTGACTGGAAAACCCTTGGGACCAGAATATTCTATCACATATAGCCTCATCAGCAGACGTAGTCCTTTGTGGAGCCCTTCATATGTGTCTGATCTCTAGAAAGAATGTGCCCCATAACTCATAATCTTTGCCTGATTAGTAAGAAATTTCTTTCTTCCTTTTCTTTCTCTTTTTTGCTTTCAATTCTGTCCTTATTTCTTTTTTCCTTTCTTTCCATCCTTCCCTTATATCATAATTATTTCCATGTACTACAAAAAAATACTTTTCATTGTGACTCTTCTCTGATGTGTGTTATTGGCAATAGTCACATCTGTGCTCCACATCCCCCCTCTTAGACTTCATATGCCCTCATTGCACACATTTGATTCCCTATGGTCCCTCTTCTCCTATCATGTCATCTCCCCACTCCTCAATTCCATGTATGGCAAGAAATGTCATGTTTGGCTTTCTTGGTTTTCTTACAATGATGACCTTCAAGTTCATAAACTTTCTTGAAAATGACATTATTTTGCTTTCTTTCATCATCGAATTATATTTCATTGAGTATACAAAACCTTTTTATTTATTCATTCATCCACTGATGGGCTCCTAATTTGATTCCGTAACTTTGCTACTGTGGCTAACACAATAGATATTGGTAGGCAAATATTTGCATTATATTCTAACTTTAATTACTTTGGATAATATAACACAGAATGATATACTAAATCTCATGTTTCCTCTATTTTTTCTTTTATTTATTTATTTATTTATTTATTGTGTGTGTGTGTGTGTGTGTGTGTGTGTGTGTACCAGGGATTGAACTCAGGACCTTGTGCTTGCAATGCAGGTGGCAGAACCACTGAGCTAAATCCCAGGCCCTCTTTCATGTTTTTAAAGGAATCTCCATACTGATTTCACAGTGACTTTGCTAGTTTACATTACTACCAATAATGCACAAGGATTGAAATAAATCAACTTCAATTAAATGTAAATGAATAGAAATTATACCATGCATATTAGCAGACCATAGTACAGTGAAGTTAGTTATAAACAATGAAAGAAAACACAAATTATGCAAACATAATAAACTAACATACTCTGAAGTAAACAATGGGTTACAAAAGAAGTTGAGGAAGAAAAAGACATTTCCAAGCACTAAATGATATTGCAAGTACGACATACCAGAACTTGTAAGACACAATGAATGCAGTCCCAAAAGGGACATAGATAGCTGCGAATGCACGTATCACAAAATCAGAGTGAGCCCAAAATAAATAGCCTGATATGCCCCTCAGGGTTATGGAAAAACAAGACAAATACAAACCCAAAATTAGTACAAGGAATGAAATTACAAAGGCCAGAGAAGAGATCAGTTAAATTGTTCCAAATAATAAAAATAATTAGGGAATTCTGGAATTGGTTCTTCAAAAATGAACAAAAGTAAAAAATAGACAAAACCTAAGGTAATCCATGCAAAAAAGAGAAAATATCCAAATAAATGCAATTAAAAATGATAGGGGTGTGGGCCGGGGATTTAGTTCAGCGGTTCAGTGGCCTGCCTTGCAAGCTCAAGGACCTGAGTTCAATCCCCGGTACCAAAGTAATAATAATAACAATAATAATAATAATAATTTTTAAATCTACTTTGCAAATTTGTACACCAACAAACTGGAGAGTTCAGAAGTAATGGATAATTACCTAGACACATAAAATTACCAAAATTAAACCAAGAACATTTAAATTCCCTGAATAATCCAGTAAAAGTAAAGCAAAAAAATAACAAAATTTAAAAATAAAACTAAAGCAGTAATAAATAAAGCTCCAAGAAAATACCAAGTCAAGATAAGTTTACCCCTGAATTCCCAAAAACTTCAGGGAAGTTCTAACACCAATACACTTTAAGATTTTTAATAAAATTGAAAGGTAAGAGTACCACAAAGTGATGCTTGGAAGGTACCGTTACCCAGATTTCAAAACCAGACAAGGATTCAAAGAAAAAGGAGAACTTATATTCCCATGGCCTTAGTAAATAGAAATGCAAAATCCTCACCAGTGTAAACTAAATGCAATGAATCATCAAAAAGATCGTACATCATGACCAAGTAGGCTTCATCCCAGAGATGCAAGGATGGTTCAACATATCCATGCTGATCAATAAACATGATCCACCTCATAAACAGAAATGAGGATAAAAATCATATGATCATCTCAATACACATAAAAAGCCTTCAACAAAATACAACATTTTATGGTTAAAACCACTGAAGTAAATGGCTGTTGTGATAGTTCACTGATTGGGTCCACTTCAGTGAGAAGCTGCCAACTAAACTGGCTCAGCAGAGTTCTGGGTGTGGAAGGCCCACCCTAGGGAGCACTATCCAGAACAGTACAAAGGGGAAGCAGGAGCTGCAGTCCCTGCCTTCATCTTGGGCGTCATCTCATGGCTGGCAGTGCAGACTCTTCAGCCTCCAGCACAGACCATTTTCCTCCCTGATGTGGATTCCCACCGGCTCCAGACTTTGATGATTCTTCAAGTATCGGGCATGAAGACAGCCCTTTAGCAGTCTTGCACACCTGACACTGTGGAGCCACATGGTAAGGATGCCTTGTAAATTCTTACATACCTTTATATCTTGCATGGAATCCATTTCCCTAGTAAGCAATGCTTCATATGGGTATAAAAGGAGATTATCTCAATCTGATTAAAGCCATTGGTGACACATCTACTGCCAACATTATATTCAATAGAAAATTTGTTAATACATTTTACTAGCATACTTAGAATTTTCACTAGCACAACCACTATGGAAATCACTGCAGGAAATTCATTTGAGCCAGGTATTCCACTGCTAGATATCTTCCAAAAAGAGTTAAAGTCATTATATTATAGTGATACAGACATATCCATGTTCATAGCAGCACAATTCATGGTAGCTAAATATTGGAGTCAGCCTATGTACCCCCTAACAGATTAGTGGATACAGAAAATATAGTATTTGTACACAGTGTGGTACTGCTGCAAGGAGAGAACCTGTGTCATTTGTAAGAAAATGGATGTACCGTAAGTGCTTAATGTCAATTTAAATAAACTAGACACACAAGCTCAAATATCACATTGTTTCTCTTATGTGAGAAACCCAGTGCAAAAATACACATAATAGGAAGTACACTCTTTCCCAGAGTGGTCATGGATCACAGATGGAGGGAGAAAAGAGGTAGGAGAGTCACAGGGGATGAAAAACAGCATTGGGGTGTGGCATGACCCTGCACCAACCCCAGACACAAGGAAAGTAAGCACTTTGTACTGCAAACATGCACAAATAGTCGAGAGGATCAAGATGTGGGGGTAGAGAAGGGAAAAGATAAAAAACAATAAATGCCTTAGTCCAAACACATGAGAGTTCTTTCCACTTCTAGGATCTTCTTCAACTTTTTTCTTCAGTGATTTATAATTTTCAGGGGAGAGATCTTTTAACTCACTGGGTAAATTTATTCTTAGTGTTTAGTGTATGTGTGCACACACTTGAGTATGTGCATGTGTTTCTGTTGTCAGTTTAAGTTTTGTATATTTTCTTTCTCAGTGAATTTGCAATTAATATATCAGGAACTGATGCATTTTGTGTGTGGCTACTGCTTCCTACTACTCTGATGAATTTATAAGTTTAAAGGTGTTTAGTGGACTCTAGAGTTTTTAGCTGTAGAATCATGGTATCTGCAATCTGGGATAGTTTGATTCTGTCATATGCTGCTGATGTCCCTTTCACTTCCCTCTCTTGTGTACCAATAAACTCAATAAAAAATTGCTTTCATTTCTCAAGATTTTCATATGAATTCTTCTATATAGCTTTTAGAATTTTTTGGTGTTCTTGAGGAATGTCCTTGGTATCACTTTTGATAGTATGGGCTTCGTAATAATATTGCCTCTCAATCATGGCACATAGGAAGTCTTTCCATCTTCTAGTGTCTTCTTAAATTTCTTTCTTTATTGATGCATTATTTCCATCATGAAGACCTTTTATCTCATTATATAGGTTTATTTCTAAGTAGTGTGTGTGTGTGTGTGTGTGTGTGTATTTTGAATGGAGCTATTTTCATGATTTACTTCTCAAGGATATGTGTGTGTGTGTGTGTGTGTGTGTAGTATCATATTATATATCGTATAAACCTATTATTTATTTATTTGTAGCAGGGATCAAATTTGCATCCTTGTGCTTGCAAAGTATGCAGCAGAACCACTGAACTAAATCCCTGGCCCACCTACCCATTTTTACATGTTGATGTTCCTTCCTGCTACTCTTCTGGATTTAATGTTTTATGAGATTACTTTTCTCATTGCTGATATAAAATTCCAAACATATAAATTTAAAGAAGGCAAGGTTCTTATTTCCTCATGATGGAGACAACCCTGAGCAAGCTGAAAATTTATCAGTTGGCTTCTCCTATTAAAAGGTGGAGTCTGCCTATTGGCCCACAATGCCTTGTCCAAAGAGCCAGCAGTGGGTGTGTGGGATCTGAACCACTCTCCACACCACTGGTTACTACTACAAAGACGAAGGATATGAAGTGTTTTGAAGGTTGGGGAGAAGAGAGAACCTCCCAGCACTGTTGAAGGGAAAGTCAATTATTGCAGCCTGGGTGGTGGGGCAGAACTATTGACTGTGCTGAAACAGGCTGTAGAAGTTATCCACACATTTGGCTTCATTATAGAAGTGAGTCCAGCCAAGTCTACATGGTGAGGTCTGAATGGCTTTTACTCAAATTCTGTTTTCAGAGTGAAAAAGTTCTTTACTGAAAAGACAAGGTTAACTCTTATCCATTAACTTTTTTTTTGGTCTGTTCTATCCATAAGTACAGAATGCTTTGTCTTTTCCTTTAGAAGCAACGCCTGCATCA